ATACAGTACTTGACAATCATTTGTTCAAATAATAAAAGATTCTGAAATATACGACCTTCAGGTACTTGCTTTCCATCAGGGAATATGAGTGGCTTGCTCAGTTTCCTGGACACTCCTGGTAGAGGGGGATAAAGCCGTAATGATTCTTTTAGGCACATTGTGGTGTAAGGCATTTTACTCAGGAATTCCCTGAAAATACAAAATAAATATTAAATACTTAATAGCAGTTAAACAAAATTGGTTGACATATTATTTGAATTAGTTTAGTTTTGCTAACAGCGGAAACAAGGCTGCAAGATTGATTTTATGGACAGCCATATACTCAATGAGGTTAATGCCATTTTGTGTAATCATTTAAAACAGGCGGGAGCGAATTAGCAGCCTGATTTACTTCCTTCACATTTCCCAGTATAAAGTGAGTATAAGCAATAGAGGCATGAACTGGTCAGTCATTGTTTTAGATTGTCACACAGAAACAAAGTTGTCCGCTGCATTATGCTTGTATCACTGTCCTACAGGAGCATGCTTCAAGAACATAGTCTCAACCATTGCCCTCTCCTATGTATTGCTTGCTAAAGGAATGACTCTTTAGAACTGAGATAAGAAGGAATTTCTTCAACCAGAAGGCGGTGACTCTGTCGAACTTATTGCCACAGATGGCTGTGGAGGCCAAGTCATTGAATGTACATAAAACAGAGACAGATAGTTCTTGATTGGTAAGAGGATCAAGGGTTACAGGGAGAAGGCAGGAGAATGGGGTTTAGAAGCATATCAGCATGATCAAATGGCAGAGCAGACTTGATGGGCTAAAAGGCCTAATTCTGCTCCTACATCCCATGGTCTTATTGCTCCAGTTGTCACCAGCACACATTGTGTGACAATTTCTTTCCTTCCATACAGAATACAGCCCATATAATGCTGTTTACTATCATCCTTTCTTTAGAATTATTCATTCCGGGGATGAGGGCATCACTGGCTTCACCAGCATTTATTGCCCATCCCTAATTGCCCAGAGGGCAGTTACATGTCAACCACATTGTTGTAGGTCTGGAGGCACATGTTGGCCAGGCCAGGTAATGATGGCAATTTCCTTCCCTAAAAGATGTTAACGAGCCTGATAGGTTTTTCCGAAAATCGACAATGGATTCATGGTCATCATTAATTCCAGATTTACATTGTCTTCAAACTCCACCATCTGTCATAGCAGGATTTGAACTCTGGTCTGCATCCTGGTTAGTTTTTGGGGAGCTTCAGTGACTTGTCAGCATTGGCCCCGTTTTGGAGTATTTCCACCGCCTCTATTTTCAAATTTTGACTAAGTAAAGATCTATTCTTCAACAGTTTTGCTCTGCTCCAAGCAAGCACATGGACTTGTCTTGAAATCAGACCAAATCTATGTTTTAACTTTAGTGGTGGTATAAGCATAATCTTAAATTAAATCTGCCGCCTTAACAACGTAAAGAACGAACCTGGAACTACTGTCAGGCCAGGTTTTCAGAATATTGGGGTCACTTTAACTTTTAGAACTAAAATTGGCAGCACATTAACAGCCTGTATAATATCATGTTTGAGTTTCTCTTTCATTGACATAATTGAATATCTGAACTGAGAGATCCTGTTCCAGTAGCTTTGTTTAGGACTGATATATCTTTGAAAGCTGATTTTACAAGTATTTGAGGTATAACGGCTTCCCTTTGGGCAAATACAGTCCAGACCAGGGAAACAATCTGGACCTTAAAGAAAATTAATTTAGTTGTGCGTTAAACATTGATTGGCCATCCTACACATCATCATGCTAAGGGGAACATGGTCACGATTAAGGATTATCCAAACAGCCTTATGGCAAGTGAACAAGTTCAAGGAAGTTTCTAGCTGCATAACTGCCTGGATTTTGGGTCATTGCTTGAGCTGCAGTAAAAGTTCAAAATGAATGTGAAATATTTGTCATACTGTGGATGAAGTATGGGAGAGAGATGAAAGAGAACCCAATGCTTGATGGTTGACAATTTCAATATGCTGTGGTATGATGTGTTGGCATTCTAGAGTAGTATCTCACGCATCTCACCCTCCCATGTATTCCAAGATATTTTGGATTCTTGAGAACCCAGCCATTGAGAACCCTTCTTCCTACAGGGAAATGATGAGCTTGTTGTCACTTGCAAACACTGCCTCTATCACTTGATCCACCTAGAAAGCTGACTGACTGGTTTCGCATTTGTCTCTCGTGGTGGCTTAGAAAGACTTGATGAAAAAATGTGAAGCACCAATTGTTTGGTTCAAATTTCTGTATGCCAGCACTCAGGGATTGGCAGTCTCAAAACCGAAGAGCTGTGTCTCCGATTGTCTTATGGTCGTTGGGCTAGTGGATAGTTTTGGGGAATGGTGGTGAGTTTATTGAGTTTTTAATGTGTGAGGTATATGTGCATACTCCTTTCTTGCCTGCTTGTCCTCCAAATCTAGACATACCATTGGGACACAATTTTGTTCACTGTACAAGGGAAATAGCAGCTGAAGCTAAACAATTATAAGAGATACAAGTAATAGTAAAAATATAGCAAGACAAAAATAAAAATCATACTAAAACTGCCATCAAAGTGCTAATAGTAAGCAACACCAATTCTAAAATTCACAAATGAAAGAAAAACTCTTTTAAAAAGACTACATTGAGAGATCCAAATTCATAAACTGCTATACCCATACAGCTGTGTTGCAGGCAGTTGATGAGAAAACAGTTAAATTCAGTGTGAGACACACCTAAATAATAGCTTTTGTTTACACTGATCAATAACACTACATTCCCAAGCATTTTTCATCTCAGCATGACATGGCATGAATCAGACATTCCGTCCTAACTTTCCTGACCCACGTTTATTCATGTTGAGGTTTTCATTTACCAGAAGAGTCTCATAAAATTGAGGTTACATTCTCTGATTCTACTTTCCTTGCTTAATTTAAAGTATTGCTCTTCATAAACCTTATTGAGGCCCTTGTTGTCTACCTTTCTCAATGGATCATTTCTTGTTGCTCATCTCTTTTACAGTGGAGCAATCCTGCTGCTTTTCTTTGCTTCCTTGTCATTGTTTGATTATACTTTTCCCATGGTGCGCTGCCCAAAATTCAACACAGCACCTGATACATGGTGTGAGGAATTTTACATGCTTATTCAAAGCACAATGTTGTAAAGAAATTCTGTTTGAGAGTTTGATTTTACATCCTATAAACACAGACAAGAGCAGAACATGCCCCATAATTCACCATTCAAATTTCTCCTGTCCCTCTAGGAGCTCGCGGATCTCTTCTCTACACTTCTGCTGGTGTTCTGGGTGTTGAGCCAAACAGTACAAAAGCCAGGAGATTCCACTCGCTGTAGTGTCATGGCCTTCAAACATGAATGTGTCCACCTCTGCTCGTAGGTCTTCATCTGATAATCCAATTCCATTTTCATCCTAAAGCAAAATTATTGTTTCAATGAGTTAGAATCTAATGCCTGCCATTAACCTACTTTCATTGGAAAATTATATTTTTGACAAATTATTCTTAGTCTATGCCAAGCCATAAGAAAGTGGAATTAGTTTTTTTTTTCCCCTTATGTTTTAATATAATGGCCTCAGCGACTGACAGGAAGACTTATGTATTGCTGCGACCTGTAGACAGGACTTCCACACATTGAGTCTCTCCAGTGCTGAGACTACAGTAACTTTCAAATGTCAGCTCACTTGATGAGTCATTTGTAGCTACAACTGCTTAACTTGAGAGCAGTGCATTGGAAAGTGTTGGTTGGTAATTAGGAATGCTGAGTAATTTGGGAAACAGCAAGTAATGAAGAGGAGAGATAA